AAAATTAATGGGAATGTTCATCAAACAGCATGTACAAGAATTGTATGCACATTTTTAAATGTTCAAGTTTTTAAGATAATTATTGTGTTAATAGTTTGCATTTTGGGGGGATGGAGGCAACATTAATCTTAATGCTCACTGTAGAAGCTGCAGTCCAAAGTTAAAGTGTAACTGCAGATGTGCCTCTTTCTCATCTCTATGCGTGCACAAAAACACTTGGGCTAACGTGTGTCCTCTTCATGTGTCTTCATACAGCTGTTTAAATGTATAAAACTGATGTTTTAATTGAATTTTTGTCCAGAGCCTGGTTCTGCAGGAGGTTTCTTCCTCATGAGGGAGTTTTTCTGTTCCACTGTCGCCTTCATGCTCGCTCAAGATGAGAGTCTGCAACAAAGTTAAAGTCACAGCAGTCTGCTCCTCAAATAAATATTAACTTACTATTTATGTATATGAATGTTTCTGTTCGGTGCCTTGAGATGACTTCTGTTGTGACTTGGCGCTATAGAAATAAACTGAACTGAATTGACATTTTTTGTGGTCTCTGCTTAAACTAGACGTTTCTTACACCGTTCATGGAAACATACCAACAAGGTGAGTTGTGATTGTTCTTAAACTGCTTTTCGAGAGGGTTTCATAAATGTCTTAAAATACTGTTGAGGAACAAACAAACCCACTGTGTGCATCAGCTAAAATCATGACTTTGGCAGACGAGGAAACAAGATCTTTTTATAAAGCCCCCCCCAAAAAAGTCCTAACATTTCCTGAAGCATTCTGCGCAACACTTTGCGTCAGAGTTTTCAACAAAGATGTTCATAATTTAAAACTCAGATTATGAGCTGGTTATGACTAACACACCAAATTTACCTCAATATCTGTCAAAATACCTGTGTTGTCGTCTCTTTTACAGTTTACTTCAGTTAATCTCATATTTGTCCATCTCATGATTACTTTCTGAGACTTTCAATAAAACCCACCAAGTTGTATTTTGCTATCAGTCAAACAAACGCACATAAAGACGCAGCTTGAGCTCCTGCAAGAAAACTTCATCTGACAGGCGAGCTCTGCAAAACTCAGACTCAGCTTTGTCTCTGTTAATGTCCATCGAACCTCCTGCCCTCCACAGATAAACGCTGATGAGGATGTGACAGCTCATTCTCATGTTGGTCGCGAATAATCATCTGTGAAAACAGTGACAGCTCCTACAACTGGGCTTTTGTCAATAATATTGTGGTAGTTGCACGCCCTTTGCTTTTGGTCCAATCCAGTTCTGAGGGTGTCACGTGTGGCAGATGGGCTTGGTGAGCCCCTGATTTGACCTTGAAGCAGGCAGCTGAAGTCTTGAAGGTCTCGCTTGGATCGTAAAGATTTAGTTTCTCTGTTGCTTTTTTTCCAATCCATCGCAAAAGATGTTTCAGTTTGAGTTTTTCCGCGCGAACAGCAAACAGACGGGAGGGGAACACTTCCCTGCCAGTCAGGCCTGATCTCTGACGGGGACGACTCGGTCCCACGACTCTTCGGCTCGTCTCCGTGACAGCAGGAGCACCGTGGCTTTGTCAATTCGCCGCGAGACAGGGGGAGGGTGTATTGCCACAGACGTTAACAAGCGTCTTCACCTTTTAACAACCGCAGCTCCGTTTAGCTGAAACGCTCCCCAGGGCTGCTAGATATTTTCCGATGAATTATATATCAGAGCTGGAGATGAAAGCGCTCGGTGGGAGCCAAGAAGAGGGGGGGGGGGGGGGGGGGGGGGGGGGGGGGGGTTTGAAGCCTGGTTGGGCTGTTTGTTTTCTGATTGTTCAGGGAAAATGGGAAAACGTCTGTTTGTACAGTAAAACTGCAATCAGGAGGAAAATCCACACGACGCGGTAAAGTTAGGCAAGTTTAATCTTTAGGTGTAATAATTAATAACATCGTGCTAAAAACAGATGTTTCTCTTTAAATTATGTCCACAGACCAAGCTGATTATTGAACCACATCTGTTGGCTCTCAGCATGCGTGAGGAGGACTCTCAGCTACTACCACATGAGATCACGAGTTATTTTACTAACAGACAGACAGGTGATTCGGTTAGTTAATCTCAACGTTTTGAAAGCAGATGCCACTCTCTAAGTTGGTGCTTAGAGTATAAGAATGGGATGACTCTCAGTCACTACCACACCAAGTTTTAGCCCAGCGTCTCCAAAAGGGACTGCATTTTAGACCTTTTTGTGTTTTCTAAGGACACAGCTCTGGTGATCGGATATTCTGCAAACGCAAAAGACAAATGACTTTTGTTTGCTGTTAGCAAAATTTCAGGTGACAAGAAAGCTTGACTGGGATTAAATAAAAGCAATCAAAAATAGAGCAGAGTGGGATTATTGTCTAATAAACTAGCACATTTTTAATCTTGATATGTAAAATAAACAGAGGCCAACATTATTATTTCTTTCTTTCTTTCTTTCTTTCTTTTTCCATAATATTCATCAAACGTGACTAAATGAAACGCCTGCTTGTACTTCCT